GATTAAATTTCTTAGTTAAGAACTTAAATTTTGTACCTCTGCTCTTGAGCAAAGAGAGTAAAACAAAACTCATAGGAAAAAAATCTGCAAAAAATTTCCAATTATGTCAAAGTAATTATCATGAAGCCAGATTTCGAAATGACAGCATAAATCTGGTAACAACAAAAGATGGTATGCACTACAACAACAACATGAACTAAATACTTTTTTGAAGTTAAATTTACTGAAAAATACCTATGAAGGCCTGAATATCGACCCTAGAATTTGTTGCATATAGTCGCCCAAAATGGACAAAAATTTGTTGCACAGATTGGTCCTGCATGGAATATATGATATCCTACCCATAATAGGATGCAACATTTGACTTCGGAGTTCTTCTGGAATAACACAGCCCAAAATAGTCCCTTTTACGGTCCCTTTTAGATGTCTAAGAAATGCAAAAGGATCAAATATAGAGAAAGTGGCGCAAGGAAAAAAAATAAATATGAACTTCGGATCGAATGGGAAAGGAACTTAGGCAAGTACATAATTAGAAAAAGGAAAGCTTTTTATTTTTTCCCCTATTGTATAGAAGCTATATACTTCTCCCTATCTAACCGTCCGATCTGAATGGATGGTTGAGATGTACCTAATCACATTGTCAAACCTCTACACTATTTTATTTTAAATTTTTTTTTTACAAGATATTTTAATACCAATATTTGGGCGTCCACTTTTATCTTAAATTTGCACATACAAAACTATAAAAAAAGATAAAATAAAATGGCAAAAATACCTCAAAAAGTTTTAGGGGTATTTTGGGTATTTTATTTTAAAAATATTTCTTTAAATTTTTTTTTTTTGGTAGGCCCATTGAGATGATGGCATATACCAAATTTTATAATAATATGATTTGGAGAAAAATAACTCGAAATGACATACTCTGAGACATTAGATCTACTTCAAATGGGTAGTGGCTTACTTGATCTAAATTAGATGCTGGATGGACGGGAGAAGTCTATAACTTCTATACAGGAGGAGAAGTATATAAAGTTTTTCCGAAACAAGGTTAAAGAACCAAAATAGCATGGGCAACTACTTCGTCAATAAAACGCAATGTCTCAAGTCTTTTTTTGGGTAGATTAGTGGAGATTACATGCCCCTACCCATTTTTAGAAATAATTAGTTGTTTTCAAATGCATCAGTGAGAATGAAAACTTAGATCGGTAGCTGAGGCTCAAGTGGTACTGTTACTATGACCTCATCCCCATTCCCATAATCGATAGAATGGAGTCAGATCCAAAGAGCTCGGCAGCAATACCTCAAGTCTTTTCCAAGAGAGTAACAAGCGTTTCTTTTGTTCCAATCTCTAGCCTGCGACGAAGTCATTGACGTATGATGATGTAAAAAAATATAAATCAGGAAGATGGGGAACATATCCAGCATAACATCGCATTCCATGCTTTAAAGCAGCGTTTTAAAAAACGCCGAGTCGAACCGGACTCGCCCGGTTCGACTCGGAAATAGTGAAAAAAGAACCGGATCGCCCAAAAATCGGAAATCGTCCGATTCACTGTACGGAATCGGCTAGTCCGAACAGTGAATCGCCGATTCCGTAAGGTATTT